GTGGCTTGGAGAGTACTATTCCTTGGACAATATACATTTAATGTAGTTTCATAACAAATAAGCAACCATGGGACTTTATTTAAAAGTTTGGTATTTTGTTCACCATGGATTTTCCTTATATATATTTAAGATATTGTATTAAAATAATTATCTTGATTACTGGTACTTCCCTGAATGTTACTTTCATGGATAAGGACCTTCCCCATCTCATCATAAATTGAACCCTTTATGTAAGGATGTGAACATACCTTTTTCTCTCAAAGACCATGTTGCTAGTGATTTTGTTATATACAACCTTACAAGAGGTAGAGGACTGCCTTTGCCTTATTTACTTGTAGTCTATTTGAGATGACTATTTCACCAGAAAGAGTTACAAAATCAAGGCTCCAAGAAGAGACATGAATGTGTCATTAAATTATGTACAATGATTTGGTATCAAAATTAGTTCGGTAGGGACTGGATTGGTCATAATGAATCATGGAAAATCATTGCCATATGCCCTTTTCCAGATCAACTCTAAAATCCATCTATTGAACCTTCTCTGTTTTTTTGTGTTTTTTTTTTTGTTGTTGTTGTTTTCTTTTTTCTTTTTCTTTTCTTCTCTTTTTTTTTTTGTGTGTCTTTTGTATTTGGATCAGGATTTCCTGTTTTTTCAGAGAGACATTGGCACTATTTGATTTAGTGGTTCTGTCTTGTCTCTGGCTTGCTTCAGTTGCCTGGATCCAGCTCTAAGTGACCACTGGCTGCATTGAGCAGAGCACACAGCAGGTGTTAGGTGCTCTGCTCTTTCGAAGCCATGGCTGACTGTATTGATCCTGTCTTCTGATTGCTTCTCTGTCTCCAATCTGCTTTGCATCTTCACGTTTTCTCCATGTATTCTCCACTCTGCCAGCACTGTTGACACAGGCTGCTTGCTACACTCCCCACATTTATTTCCAGCAGCATTGAACCAGCATTTTTCTAACCCTCACTAGTTTCTAACCCTTTGTTGTTTGGCAGGTAATTTGTATTTTGATAACAGCCAAGATCATGATGGTCAGCTCTCACCAAGAGGTGTGACACTGTTTCTAAATCTCAGGATTTCATATGTACATTTAAAACAATTCCTTCTTGCCTGATTATAAAACAGCACAAACAAAAATATGGAAATTTTAAACAACGTAGGCATCTAGTATTCTGTTATGTGGCATTACCATGAATATTTAATGATTTGGATGTTGTGTTCTGCTCCCCAATTCATGATTTAAAAGAGAAAAAATTGAAGATCTATTAAGATTTTATTTATTCTTTGAGAATTTATACATGTATACTGTGTGTTTTGATCATATCTACCCTCACCCTTCCCTCCTCTTCCTCTTAGATCCCTTATTGCCTCTTTCTCCCCCATCCTGTGACCCCTTCCTCTTCTTTTTCCTCCTCCTCCTCTTCTTTTCTTCCTTCCTCACTTCATTCCCTCCTTTCTTTCTTTTTGGTTTTTCCAGACAGGGTTTCTCTATGCAACAACTTCTTATTGTTCATCACTCACTTAGTGCTGCCTCTAGCTGCATGGGTTTAGGGCTGTCTTCTAGAACATAGGCAACCTACCAGGGCCACATCCCTAAAGAAAACCCATTCTCCCTTTCCAAGTAGTCATCACCTGCAAATAGCTCTTCAGTAAGGTGTGAGGTCTCATGAACCTCTTTCCTGTCCATGGAATATTAACTGAAATGATCTTGTGGAAGTCTTGTGCTATTGTAATAGCTATTGTAAGTTCATGGGTTCAATGGCCCTGTCCTTCATATCCAGAGGACACTATTTCATAGAAGTCTCCTTATCCTCTGACTTTTGCAGACTTTCTGCCCTTCTTCCATAATGTTCCCAGAGCTTGTGGGGAGTCGGTATGATAGAGATATCCCATTTATGGCCGAAAACTCCATAGTCATTTATAATTGGTGCTAGTGTGTGTGTGTGTGTGTGTGTGTGTGTGTGTAAACAGGAAGTCTCTCTGATGAGAGGTGAAAACTGTACTAATCTATGGGTATAATGATAAGCATTGTGATAGGCCTCTTTCTGTTTCTTTATATTTAAATATATTTTTATTATTTTGAAAATTTCGTGTGATGCACTTTGATCACATTCACCATGCCTCCTCTCCCTAACTGCTCCCAGACCTGCCCTCATCCCTTACATCCTCCCAACTTTGTGTCACCTCCCTCTGTTTAATAATCCACTGAGTCCAATTTGTGTTGTTCATATATTACTAGGTGTGGGATCATCAATAGACGGAGGTAGAGCTACCAGGAGTCACACCTTTAAAGAAAACTGAGTCTCCATCCCCACAGAAGCCATCAACCAATCAAAGCTCTTCAATTAGGGGTATAGGATTCTGATCACCTCCTCCTCCTCCACACCAGAATGTTGAGTAACTTGGTCTTGTACAAGTCTTATGTAGGCAACACCAAGCCACTGTGAGTTCATAAGCAGTGATGAAGAATCTCTATTTAGTTCACTGACTGTGAGAATAGGTGTATCCTAAGACATTCCCTAGTGGATACTACCAATTTGTATGTTTGAGTCCCAGGGTCTTGTTATAGCACATGTCTGTCTTTTGCTATTAACTGTCTTTAATTATGTGGCTCAAACGTAACTCTTCAAAAAGTTTTCCTGGAATTATCTGATAAATTATTTTCCCTGAACACTACTATTTTTTTTTACATTTTATTACAAATATATGACATGATAAAAATACGTCTAATATAATTTTATATCCCTATAGAGCCTAACACTCAAATCAGATTCACATCTGTTTATTGGATTGAATTAAAATTTATACTTTGGGAAATCACAGGATGATAGTTTGTAATGAAAACAGAATATTAGAATGTATTTAGAAACTCCCAGAATAAGCCTGAAGAATTTCCCTGATGCTGGTATGTGTCCTAGGAATTAAATAGCAAAATTAGCATTTGCCATTGATCCACCAACCCATATCCCAACTAAACACACATAGTCTTCAATTTCTTATGTATCACTCCACCATTCACATAGATGTGGACAAGCTGACCTTTTGTGTTTTCTTGGGTAACTGGATTATGTTGTGACTACTGGTTGTTAGATGCTCTGTGTTTGTGTCTGATGCCTATTATTTTCAGTGTGGGACAGCCCTGAGTATAACTCCCCCAAAGCAAGGATCTGTTCCACTTCACACAGCTGACATGAGACCAGGTACACGTAGCAAATATATTTTTATGATGATATTGAAAATTCTAATAATAACTTTACCCGTGAGATTTGCAACTGAGTTAATTAGATTTTCTAATTCTACATACGCGGCAACATGACTTTTACTTTCTGGAGACTTGGATAGTTTTTGTCTGTAGAACTGTTCTCAGGGTTTAATGAAACACTTGGGGCAGGCGGCCTTTGCAGTTTCCCAGGGTTTCTGGGCTCAGCACAGCAGGTTTCTGCCCTGCTGAGCTAATCTTCATCATCTCTTCTCTTTAGCCTTTTACTTAAAGCCACATTATTTCCTGTTTGTAAGAATCTGCATGACCTCTGCAGACATACAGCAACGAAGACTGGAAGAGCTTAGATGTTTTCACATCAGACTTAGTAAATTCTAGAACCATCAGTAGGTAGGGCACGGCTGTAAGTCATTGAAGCAAACAGATTTTGACATTTAAAAAGAGAATGCACAGTAGGAATTTAATCAGCATATTGCCAACACAATATTCCCTTTGAAGGAAGGATTCTTTCAAAGGTATCCCTCAATTTGTCTATATTACCATCCAGTATTTAAAATGACAGTGTGGTGCAAGAGTCTGTAGATGTTTAAGACTCACCCTCTCACTCTGCAGTCTAATTTGCACTCTCTCCAGCCCCCATTTATTCTAAGTGTCCTGATGGGATCAAAAGAAATGTCTATGCCACCTTCCAAGTTTCCTTGAAGGACACTACTATCGTTTATCTAGTATTTGACGACTAATGAGCTGGCACTCATTAACCAACCAAAAGGCATGAATTTAGTGACCATCAGCTTAATATGAGGATGGCCAAGAGCTGACTTGAGTTCTATTCCTGGGACTACATGGTGGAAGAAGAGAACTGACTCCTGAAAGTTGTCCTCTGACCTCATACACGTCATGATACATACCTCCCCCACTTAAATAAATAAATGCAACTTTTAAAGGTCCCCATTCTGGCTATTTGTTGTGGTTTCTAAAGGTTGTGGTTACTATGGGCATGCAGCCCCTGCTTTAGTAACGGAGCTGAACAGTAACGTGCTTTCACAAAGCTAGTTTCTCCCATACACAGTTCACATGTGTTTTTAAACAAGACACATTTGATTGTGTGTGTGTGTGTGTGTGTGTGTGTGTGTGTGTGTGTGTGTGTATGCCTATGTGTGTGTGTGTTTGTGCCTATGAGTGTGTGAGTGTGTGAGTGTGTTTCTGTATGTGTATGTGTGTGTGTGCGGGCACCTATGACAGTCAGAAGGGGGCACTGAATAACTTGTGTGTCCTTTAGTGTACTCTTTTAGAACAGTAAGCACTCGTAAGCACCGAACTGTCTCTCCAGCCTCTTCCATTGTGTTTCATAAGCATCAGGTTTTGCATTTCTTGACTAAAGCAATGCAAGATTGTTGCAATGCAGGTTCTGGAAAAAGAGGGTCTATGTTTCGACATATGTTATTTGTAAAACAAATATTTGTGACTAGGGGCTTCTGCATGTGGCTCTTCCCAGGGTCAGCATCACACCTGTTCTCTCAGTGATCATGGTCTGGTTTATAATTTGAAACAGAAATCAACCTTCGGGAGCTAATTTCAGAGTCCCACTGCATGCATCGCTGCTTGCCCAGTTAGAAGACACCTCAGTGCCCTTTCCTTCCTTCCCCAGTCCTTTCCCAGCTACCAGCATAATGCCTGAGACTCATCAAGTATTTCTCTATTATTGCCTGCTATTCATTTCACCTCATTAATATTTAAAGATCATTACAGTTATTCACTGAAAAGGGCAACGCTTACCACCAACCATTCAAAGGTGAACCCAGGTGAAATTTCTGAGGAGGTGTTTTGAAAGCATGGTATTTCCAGAGTCTGATTCGTCTCTGTGTCTATTGTATGGTTGTGTTCATCTTGTATAACTGGAACAAAACATAAGGAGGAAGATGCATGGATCTTGGCATATAAGGTACATTTTATCAAAGAGACAAAACCAGTTTAGAATAGAAATTCATCTATCTTCAAGACACCTATGAAGTAACAAGGCAGAACCCCACCGAAGTCCACATGGTTTAAATGGCAAAACTGAGCCAGGAGAAGCCTGGGGAATTGCTTATCACAGAAAACTCACAGAGAAACTATTTGACAAACCAACCTAGAATTTGACACGCTCTTCTGCTTTAACCCCAAATAGGTCCATCCATCTTCAGGTTACATGTCCTCATTAGAAAGAATATGAAATCTTATAACCTACTTTGTAATTGTATTTTAAAATTTATTAGGACTCACTCTTTTTCCACAGCAGCTGTAGATTCACAGCAAAAGTGAGCAGAAAATACCGACAATTCCCAGATACATGTAGTTTTCACCTTTATACTCGGAGCGTCCTCTGTTGTCAGCATCTTGCATAAGAGTAGTGCAATTTTTTCATAATAAGTTAACCTACACCCATAAATCGTCACCTCCCAGACCCCACAGCTTGCTGTAGGATTCACATGATATACATCCTATGGGTTCTGACAATTGTATAGTGTCACACACTCACATTAACATAATTGTTTTCTGCTCTAGAAACCTTTTCTCTCTTTGGTCTCAGGAGAAAATCCTTAGGCACTCAAGTTCCATATGATTCGAGCATACCCTAGAAAACTTAGAACAGATATAATGTAAATGTATGCATAGTTATATATTATGTTTTTAGGGACATGGAATGTTCAATAATATGCAATTTGTTTCTAAAACTTCCTTATCTGGTGTTGTAGTTATGGAACCTAGAGATATGGAGGGTCATCTATATTACTCTAAACCTAATATATATATATATGTATATATAATTTCCTGTTCATTAATATTAAAGAAACTTAACCATCATGATATTTCCAAATATAGTTATTTGTACAACACCATCAAAAGTCTAACACATTGCATACCACTTTTTAATTTTATTTTGCTTAAGTATAGTTTAAACATACTAAGCTACTTATTAATATCTATGATGCTCACAAAACAAATACATGTTAATAATATTTTAATGGACATTACCCAATATACAGTTAATATATAATTATAATTATTAGCTTTTACATATTATTTAACTTTTTGGTTTTGCCATATAGCCCCAACTGGCTTGGTACTTGCTACATAACCCAAGCTGTCTTCAAATTCATCACAATTCTCCTGCCTCAAGCATGAGAATTACAGGTGTGTAGCATTGCCTCACCTCTACTTTTGAAGTTTTCTCAGATTCTGAGTGTAGTTTTTTAAAATATAAACATAAATATATAATTTAAAAGTAAATTAAAATAACCTAGAAAGTATCTACAAGTACATTAAACTACAACACGTCCCCGTCAGTAAATGGTAGCACACTTAGTAGTAGCGACTGTGCAAAAAGAAAACAGGAGAGTGGACTGTGCTGCTGAGCTTTGGAAAGTCTACCCCCACAGTGGGTGATCTCTGCAGCAACAGCTGGCTAATCTCAAAGGAGCAGCAGAGATGGAGAAGAGGGCATGAAGGACCAGATCACGAGTTTATTCTTGAGGAACAGGAAAAGTCCCCCATCCTGGGACAGATAAGAGTTTGTGAGATGTCCCCAATGCTGTGAAGAAATCCTCGGGAGAAGAATCTAAATTAAGTGAGATAGATCCAATATGAGAAATCAAAGAGGAAATTCAGATAAAAGTGGGAGACAAAAGGAAAGGAAGTACGTTCCAGCAGTCCCACAGCTAGTGTTTACCTTGAAAATAGCAGATCGGGGCCTCTAGACCCAACAATGGCTACAGAGGAGCTAGCCTGGCAAGCCTTTCATGGAAAGAATAAAACCATACTTAAGGCTAAGCAATAGGAAAATGAATGCAGTAGAACGAGTTGTAAAGCTACAATGAGAAAAAGGCCAGAGAATAAAATACCGTTTATATAACAATGAAAGCAGAGTATCAGTATATTCACACATAAATAAAAGCTACGACTTCATTATTCAAAATGAATGAAAATGATATAAACTGTGCAAAAAATGGAAAGGTTGATAAATGAGTTCACTGGAGAACAGAAGACTTGTAAAAGATAGGTGATGTAATTCAGAAAATCATTGTCAAAAATCACTCTAAGAATGAGATGAAACTGGAACAAAACTGAAACCACATGTGCAAAAAAGCTAATGTATTGAGAGAAATTTAAAACGTCAATTTAGGAAAATATGTAAATAAATAACTTTAAAAATAAAATAGTCAAATAATACAGTATGCACAAAAATAAAGTGTGTGTGTGTGTGTATAACAACAGACCTTGAAGGGAAAAGTCAAAGAATCATGGAATAGCACAAATGCTAAAAATCATGTTAGAAAATTTTCTTAAAATAAAAAAATGACTATAACCTATATTTAGAGATTCACTGAAGTAAGAAAACTGACTTAGTTCAGATACCATAAAGCAGAGTTTTATGACAGTATTTAAGAAAATTAGTTACAGGGGGAGAAAATGAGACTACTGTCAATATGATTTTGGTAGCAATTCTATGGTGGAAAATATTGATGGAGTACATTTAGTATACTCAAGGAGAGATATGTGGCCTATAGATTTTAAATCCAAGAAAATTAACCTTTAAATATAAAAACATGCCAGCTATTTCTAGGATCCCACCAAAGCTCAAGGGTGCATTGTTTCCATCAGCGCTTCCCAGGGTTTTTCTTTTTTTTTCCCTGAAGATTCTTTTTTATTTGAATTAGAAACAAGATTGTTTTACATGACAATCCCAGTTCCCTATCCCTCTCCTCCTCCCCTACCACCCTCCCAACTAAAACCCTACCCATCACATAGCCTTTCTCCTCCCCCTGGATGGTGCGGCCTTCCATAGGGTGTCATCAGAGTCTATGTATCCTTTGGGATAGGGCCTAGGCCCCCCCCCGTGTATCTTGGCTCAGAGAGTATTCCTCTATGTGAAATGGGCTCCCAAAGTCCACACCTATGCTAAGGATAAGTACTGAACTACTACAGGAGGTCGCGTAGATTTCTGAGGTTTCTTCACTGAAACCCATGTTCCTGGGGTCTGGATCAGTCAATAGAATAGTTCAATAGAACACACGGAACAGACAGTCATCCAGACAAAGGCTTGCAGTGAGTTCTGGCTTTTCACATTTGGCTCTAGTAATAACTGTTATAAGGAAGTACTCATAAATGTATGTTTTAAACAAAAAGAAAGCACAGTAGAGCTCTAGAAAACGAAAGGAAAGTCTGGCTTATAGGAAAAAAGAGGTAGATTAAAAAAAAAAAAAGACAAATAGGCAGGCATGGCACAGAGAAGGCGATCTCTGTGAGTTCCAGGATAGCTAGGGTTGTTACAAAGATAAACACCGGTTCAGAAACAACAAAAACAAAAAACAAAACAAAAAACATGTACAAAACAAAACTGGGCACTGAATGCTAAATACAACCATTTCATATCCCACTGCCTAAGGGCAACATCAAATTAAGAATCATCTTTTCCTTGTAAAACTGCAATTGCCTAAATCAAGATGCTAGGAATCTTCAGTCTTCTCACCTACAGCTTATTTACTCCGTCACCTGCCCCCTTGGTCATTGAGAAATATTTTAGCAGCATAGTACTACCTGCAAAACTCAGCAATGTTTCCTTTCTCCTACCCAGAGGCCATTGACACACACTGGGGACTTGATTTTAGCCTTGCAGCTCCAGACTGTGAGAGACTAATTTTCACTTCCATTGGCAACCTGTGGTGTTGTACTAATGCAGCACAAAAGAACCAAGATGGTGGGAATCCAGCTGGACATTTAGTGTAGATCACCTAGAAACAAGAGTCCTGAGGGCTGAGGTAAGATGTCCACATGTTCTAGACTGACTGCGAAAGCACAACTTCGGGTGGAGGATACTGGAGGAGGCAGCCTAGATCTTTATGAATGGTGCTAGCATGAGAACCCAACCCTAGGAACTTTAGCCAGTCCCAGTGCTCTACTGTTCTATACTATTAACATGAATTTGGAGGTGAAGTTTCTTTTCTTTTTCTTTTTCTTTTTCTTTTTTCTTTCTTTCTTTTTTTTTTTTGGTTTTTCGAGACAGGCTTTCTCTATGTAAATTTGGAGCCTATCCTGGCACTCACTTTGTAGACCAGGCTGGCCTCAAACTCACAGAGATCTGCCTGCCTCTGCCTCCCAAGTGCTGGGATTAAAGGCTCCACCAACGCCCTGCTGGAGGTGAAGTTTCTGTGTCATGTAAGGTGGTGGCACCCAAATCCTAGCTAGCACTTAAGAGGACAAATCTGCATATGGTTTTATGTCTTGAATGGATAATTTCACTAGGTGGAGAAATGCTTGGTAGACTTAATCTTTGTATTTTGAGCAAGTCTTCTGACCCCTGGTGTTTCTGAGGAGAGGTGCTTTTGATGTTTTGATTATTCTATCAGGCCTCTGTGAACCATGAATTGCTTGCTTTCTTCTTCTTCTTCTTCTTCTTCTTCTTCTTCTTCTTCTTCTTCTTCTTCTTCTTCTTCTTCTTCTTCTTCTTCTTCTTCTTTCGTCTTCTTCTTTCTGTTGCTGTTGCTTTTTTTTTGCTTCTATGCTTTACTTATTTTCATCGCTACTTATGATTTTTCTTTCTCTTTGACTTCCAATACTGTATGATCATTATATAGGTAGATATCTCTGTGTTTATCTTATTTGGACCTTTTAGACTTCTTGGGAGGATAGACTAACTGATAGAAAATACTAAAATATTGGGCAACATTGCCCTCACCAAAAGCAATCATCCTGTTCCCCTTCCTGCCTATTACAACTTGAAAGTGGTTTGTTAAGACATGAGGGGAGACAGGGGATCCGGTGGGGAGGAGAGGACATTAGCAGGATTGGGAAGGAGATAAGAGCAGGCAATTTGGGTGAAGGAGATAAATAGATTAGGTGTGTGTGTGTGTGTGTGTGTGTGTGTGTGTGTGTGTGTGTGTGTAATGTCACAGTGAGACATATTTATTTGTAATTAGTGTATGCTATCACAAACGTCATAAAACTTCCTCCTGCTGTTTCTGAATAGTTTGACTACCTATTATGGATCTCAGCGCCCTTACATTCTCAGAAATCTTATTTTACTCACTCTGCGATATAGTTAACTCTTCTTAAGCATATCCTATCCATTGGCTTTGGAGTATAGTTAGGTCCCTTGCATTATTTAAAACCACTGACACCACAACACCAACACAAAGCTTCATCTAAACACTCACACTCTTTCTATTCCTATTGATCAGTTGCTAGAAGCTATGTCAATACTTAGTGTCCCCACTCCCCTGCCTCCCACTTCTTGCTTTTCCTCTCATCTGATTTCTTTTCTGTTCCATAATGCCACCAATGTAAGTTCCTGCTAAGTTGTCAATGCCTTTCATGCTCCTAAATACAATCCAGTTACCATTTGTCTTCCCAGAAGTGTCAGAATTGATGGCCATCTTGTCTGCATCCCACATCACCGTATCCCTGGTACTCAGCACTATAATCTCTCAAAAACTATATGCTGGACAAAGACTGCCTACAAGACATTGAGGAAAGTCAGGTTCAATGACAAATTAGCCTACAGAGAGTTAATCACATAGGTAAGACTTAGCTTATCAATGTTAAATTTTCTTTTTTTCATTGACATTTTTATGTTTTAAAGGGAAAATGGTGATAAACTTGGAATTTACAGTGTAGTATCTCTTAGATTCTATGTTTGTGTATGCTTCAACATTTAGTGCCTCCTCATAGGTTTCTAACCATTCATGATTCTTCCTTCTTTACAGTTCTGAAGCTGATATGTGTTTCCTGATTTTTAAATGATATTTTATTGATTTGTCAAAATTTAAATACTATTTAGAAACCCTTTGAAAGTTTTATACATGCATACAATGTGTTTTAAACATTTTTATTCCCCATGTCATCTGCCTCCTTCCTCTCTCAAGTTTGTGCCCTCTTCTAAATTATTTTTCTAACCCAGAGTCCAATTTATGCTGTTCATATATACTCATAGGTGTGGGGCCACTCACTGAAACATGGTCTACCTACCAAGGCCCAGAGTCTTAAAGAAAACTGGCTCTTTCTCTCTTAAAAGCCAGCGACTGTCAATAGCTTCTCAGCTAAGAGTGGGAGCTCGCATGGCCCTCTCCAACCATGCTGGGATGTTGATTGGTTTGATCTTGTGCATGCAATTGCTCAAATTATATTTTCAAGAACATAATATTACTCTCCATTGCCATCGTTGCTCCTTGTTTTCTTATGTTGCTGGTGGTGGAGCTCAGAGCCTCCCCGGAGCTGGCAGATACTGTGTTACTGAGCTATACCACCACCCAGCTATTACTACTATGTGTATTCCTGCTGTCTGTTTCCTTTCTAGTTCTTCCACTATCACTGTTGCTTCCCTAGGCTTTTAGAAATTAAACCATGACGTTTAATTCATCCTATAATTCATCCTAATTACAATTTTTCATATGCTAAAAAAGGTAGAAACTGAAGTAGCATTCCAATTTCTGAAATGTAGATTTTTATGAACCACGGACTAACTCAGGAAATTATGCTTCTCCAAATAATTCAAAGACTCCTAATTTAGGGAGAAAAATATCAAAATGAAATGAAATGAAAGCAGACACCAAATTAATTATTCATCATATTTTCATTCCTATCCACAGTTTCTGCACACCAAGACACACATGGACAAAATATTATGAAAAGGGAACAGCTAGTTGTCTTTCCTTGTTGAGCCCTCAGGGGACATGAAACCAGGACTTAGACACTCACAGTTTTGTAAACAACCCAGGGAGAAGGACTCTGATGACAAGAAAGAGGAAACAGGAAGAGGTAATTAACCCAGCCACCTCTGAGCTTTGGCCTCGTCTTACTTAGACTCATGTATAACTTCAGTTTGAATTTGTTTACATTCTTCCTAAGTGTTTTCACTTCACGTGTGTGCCTTGCTTACTCAGCCAGCTTGGAAACATGAATATCTTGCAGAAGCTTACCAAGGAATTGGATATAAACAGGACAAAAAGCAAGAAAATATCGGAAGAATACGAGGTGGAAAGGTGGCATATGGCTGGGTGGAGACTTGGCCATGCTGCCAGACAGCAGGCACGTCCTCTAGGTTAAACTCTCACTCCTTAGCTCCATAGTAAGCCTGTGCTTCTGTCACTATTATGTAAAGCTTTCTTCCTTTCTTGTTTGCCTTTTTATAAATTGTGATCCTGTAGCATATATACAATACTAACACCCCTTCTTTATCACTAGGCCTTTGTTTTCCACCTGACTCAGAGGATCAACAGCAAAGCTCAGAAAGAAAACTGGAAAATTTCCAACCATTCGGTAGGTACAAACTTAGCCATCTCTCATTGTCATTTCTTTTAAGAAATACACTTTTCTTAAAGGCAACATTGCTCATTTCTGAATACCTTTTCCCCATTATTGCCTACATTGGAGCCATAATATATCTTTGGTTTTACAGTGTATACCCCAGTTGTCTGGAGGATAGATTGCAGTAGTTTTGTAGGTACAGCAATGGAAGATACAACCAAGTTGCTTTTTCTCAATGGAGTATTGATCAGGTCCTCAGAGATGGGATGGCATAATCTACCTGGGTTGGGACAATGTTCCAAAGCTGTGTCTAAAGCCAAAGTCTAGGTGTACTTGTGTTAATATCTGACAATATCTCACTGGATCCCACTCTTTTAGAGCCACTTGGATAATCAGACTACTCTAAAAAGAAAAGGAAGTTCCTTTATAATAAGAATTGAGAAATAAAGTGTCTTGCTGTATTATTATTATTACTATATTAACACCAACCATTTGCAACATCTCTATCTTATTCTTAATATTTATATTTTATTTTACATATGAATATTTTGCCTTCATGTACATAGGTGTGTCTGGTGTATGAGGAGGTCAAAAGAAGACATCAGATCCCCCATATCTGGAGTTACAGATGGCTGTAAGCCATCATGTGGTTGGGGATGTGGATTCTGGGAACTGAACCTAGGCCCTCTGCAAGAGCAACAAGTACTCTTAACTCCTGAGCCATCTCTATAGCCCACCTCCTACCTTTCAATAGGAACTGTAGTAAGTATTTTACACAGGTAACCTTATTTAATATCAAGATGGTACCCACCCATGATGGAAGAACTACAAACATCTACATTTGTTGTTTCAGAAACCAAAGCCTAGAAACCTGAAATGATTGCACAATGGGAATGATGGTGTCTATAATAAGTGACATATACAGTGCCCTGCTGACTATCAAAATCCTAAGTGCCACAGCTAGGTGTTGTTCTCAACAGGTCTTCTGTCTCACTGTATTTCAACCACACTCCTCCTATCTTGTTGTCAACTGATCAGAAGTTGTATTTCATTCCATTTGAGGAAATCGTACTTTATACAGAGATTATTCAAACATTGTTGTCTAGGAGCAGCAAGAGGTAGACATGGAGAGGAGTTGAGAAATTCATGCCTGCTATGTATCAGGGCAGTCTCTTGCCTCCTGCAGCAAGGCTTTCCTGAGGTAGGTTTTGTTGTTCTTTTCTATTACCAGGCTACTCACACCTTGAGTTTAAGACATTCAGGTTCCGGTGCAGTTTCCATCTGCTGGTTTTTATTTTGATCTGTTCCCATTATCAGGAATAGAAATCATTTTACGTTAGAACCGGGTCTTGTAGGGCAAGTATTATCATGTTAAAGCCCAAAACACTCTCAGAGAACTTCCAAGACAGGCCTCAAGGCAGATTCATTTCTAGCCAGAATGGACCTAAAGCTCAAATTTAGGGCTCCATCACCAATGCAGGCCCTTGAAGCCTGTCCAGTCTGAATGCTACATGTTCAGGATCCTCTATGGCCTACTTCCTTGCCCTATAATAAATATCCAAGTTCACTTTTATAGAGTCATTCACTAAGCCACTCCACTGCCTTCATCTTTTATCCCAGCTACTGGCACCAACATGCAGGTGTGCACACCAGAAGTCCAATGTCACCCTCCAAGTTTCTTCCTTCTTCATTCAAGTGCCCATGTCTACATCCATTCTAGGATCAAGTTATGTGTGTTTTATCCTCAGTATGTAAAATGTGTAAGTTTCCTTTCATCTCTACCAGACTACCACTATGTTTCTTCTAGATAGTTGGAAAGGGTCTTCTAATATATTTCTATCATCTCTTCGTTGTCCACTTTAAAGCCATTTCCATACTGAAGCTAGGATCATCTTTTTATAGCATAAATACAAACAGACTGCAAATGCCACCCTAGCCTCTTGTTGAAAAAATTCCATTTCTTTTATGATTCTTATGTAAAAATCGTAGCTTTGAACATAAACAACAAGGTCTGACCTGAGCTGGTCCTCAACTGCGTCTCTGCCCTTACCTGTGAATCTGCACATGCATAGTCCCACTTCCTAGATAATGCAAAGCATTTCCCATGGCTGTCCCCACCCCACTTCCGGGTCACTCACAATCCCCACCTCTTCTAGACTACATTAACGACTACTCTTTCTCCAGACTTCAGTTTAGGTGTTCCTTTCTCAGGGACCGTGTCCCTGGATTCTGCTCTGCTCTGGTTCACCTACAATAGCTCTCATTAACACTCACCACTGTGGCATCTTCACTCTTCTCTGTGGCATTATGTGATCTGTCACTACTTCCCTTATCAGACAGTATTTTGTTCTGCTAAGTCTTTGTTCAACACCAGATCTAGAACGTGGTTACTGTCTCCATGTGTTTGCTAAATGGGTGAAAGCGACATGAAAGTGGAGGCATCCTTTCTTGTGTAGTTATACTCACCAGGTGCCACAAGGAGGCTGTGAACTGTAGTCTGGATGCCGTCTGGATACACAGTAAAGCTGCACTCATACTTTCCACTGAAGGTGGTAGAGACATTCCGTAAGTGCAGAGTCCATTTTATGACATTCTCCCGAGTTTCTAAGGATGCTACCTGGGACTCACAGGTGTGCCCTGGGACACAGTGGAAGCCATACTGGGGATGATAAACAACAATCACATCAGTTTTATCAGTGACCTTGGACCACTGCATCTGTACCAGGAAGTCTGTCTCCTTGATTTGGCAGGTCAAGTTGACATCAGAACCAGGTGGAGCATATATGGCTTCTTCTGCATTGAATGTTTCTTCCCAAACTCCTGGAAAGGAAGGATGAGAGTAATCAGTTTGTATAATTCACCTGGAGTGCTTTTTTAGGTTTTTTTTTTTGTGTGTAGTCTTTAAATATCATTTTTGGTTAGCATACAAAACCTAAGAGTGACTGTTAAAAGTCTGCTCAGTTCACTGATATGAGAGTATAACTAGAATTTCTTCCTGGCTATACTAGGAAAGAAAGCCCCTTATGATTTAGGATGGTGAGAGGAAACTATGGATACTTGCATATTTCTGTCTCTTTGTCTGCCCAAAGGGTAACTGAAGGTCTCTGACTAACTGTGAATAAAATTGAGCATATTTAAAGATTTATTTTATTATTTTAAAATTATATGTATGAGTATGTGTCTGTGTGGGAATATGAGTGCAGATGCCCATAGATGCCCATTGATCCTTCTGGAACTGGAGTTATAGCTGCTAGATGCTCATATTAGGAACCAAATTTAGGTCCTCTGTAAGAGCAGAAAGTGCTCTTAATTGCTGAGCTACCTCTTCAGTCCCATAAATTAAGCCTAGTTAAGTGCCCTGACAAACTTACCATGAAACTGTTAATACACATGAATTTGACCCTTCTGCATCAGCATCTGTAATAACTAGTCTACGTATAGTAGTTTTTTCACACTTTAATTATAAATTCTTCATAATAAAGTGACATTTCTTTTGAAATACTATGTGTTTACTAGAGTCTTTCATATATGTCATCATTTTAATCTGCATGCATCACAAGAGTGATATTGTTAAGCTACTTTATCAAATGGGAAAGCAAAGCACTGAGAAATGAAGTAGATCTTTTAGAGACCACCACTTAAGAGAACACGGATTCTCTTTGGAATTAGTCACTTCTGCAGTTTTCCTTCAACATTAACTCCATAACTCCTTACTGTCTCCTACATTCACACTGGCGGAGTAGAGTAAGAGCCTTGACATTCCCTCTGAGGATGAAAGGACCTTCATCTCCATGTAGTTATGTCTCTCAAGGAGAAAGTAGGAGATGCCTCAGGTAGAGGTAACCTAGGGCATCATCTCTATCCAGCTCATGGGATGCTAGACATACAAGAAGATTCTCTCTTCCATCAGCAACCTGGATGCATGGTACAGATGACTAAATTTTGTTCAGCACTGAGCCTTTGATATGTCTTCAGAAATGCTGGGCTCCCTTTTAGAATTTACCATTACAGAAGTTGTACATTATTGTGACAAGTCCCCTGGAGCTCACAAAGGGAAAGGATAAAAAGATGACAAGCTGCTGAGAAGAAACAAGACCTCAAAGGCACTGTATGGGTAGGAATTATTAAGCATTTGTGAATACACCAAGTTTCGGTGGACAGAGGTCTACACATCTGAGTCTAACTCCCTGGAAGGCATCTTTGTATAATGTGCCTCTGAGCCTATCTAGATCACCAATTTCAATGTCTTTGATTCAGAAACTCTTACAATCTTCCTAGCCATACACATTCTTAAGTTATTCAGGCTTTCAATAATAACCTTGTACTGTGGTGTTCAGAACTAAGCTTTCCTCCTTTGATTTTGAAATAGGCCTTTTAGGTTCTGGTCTACGAATGGCCTTAAAGTCATAAGGATCCTCTTTGCTTTCCGAGTCACTCCTTGTATGTGACTAAGACTTCACATACATCCAACCACTAATGGCATTTGCACTGGGGAGGAGAAACAACTTGTTAGTTTGAAGAGAAAAGAAATGCTTGAGACAGGATTAAAAGCTGAGCAAGACTTTCCAACCATGGACACGACTGTAGGGTGTTTTAGTTTCCTGAGTTGCCTTTATGATGGTCCAGGAGCTTTTCCTCTCCAAGACACATAATTTTCCAATTACACAAGACTCTTTGAAGAGGGAAAATGGTGAAGAGAGGCCAGAGCAATGGCACAAACCATTCACAGAAGTTGTAAACCCTTTTTGGTTTTAGTGTTCTTGAGGAATCCTGTCTCAACTCTAGCATCTTTTCTGTTGCTGTCACATTCATAACTGACACCCTCAGCAACAGTTTGCCCTTTAGTGCAGCAGTCATGAGGCATTTCAAAGGAGCAAAGTTTCCTAAAGCAGCCATCTGAAAGGACAGGATTGACCAGAAGTCTTACCCCTGAAAAACTGTATCTGGATGATGGAGTAAACAGCACAGTATGTCCATTTTCTCCCCATTGTCTCCTGAAGAAGAGCTCACACCACCATTTCTGTAATAATCACAGGACTCAATTGATGTTTCTAGCTGAGCAAACTCAAGCCACCCTATTCGTGCTCAAAAACCCCAACACTACCACAGGGCTGGGGGTGTTGATCGCTTGGCAAGTCCCCAGGAAATGAAATGCAGACAGGAAAGTAGTGTGGTTCAGGGCTAAGTATAACCTTCACAAGAACAATGAAGAAACTGTTCTCTGAAACCTTGTGTCTCACCTCTAAAAGACTTTTTCATATCCCAAGATTCTCTCCTTTAGTCTCGTTGTCAGTCAAGCTGCTTCTAAAATCCAAACAAAGGAAATTGTGCAGTGCAGTCCCCGGGTGCTTTTTATACATTTCCTTTCAAGAATACAAAGTCATTTAGCAAACAGGAGCTTTTGGCCTCGCATAATAGGGTTTCAGCAAATCTTGAGATAAGTATTTTCTTTCCAAAATTGCCCCAGGGTGAAAGAACAATGATTAACATATTTGATTTTAATAAACTCTGAAGAATAACAGCAGTGATGTCAGCTATCTGACTGAATTCGTTGTCTAATTTCTTGTAGGGAAATCCACATGTCTGGGGTGGGAAGGGAAAAGTGAGTGTCTTTTCCACCCCTTGTCTTGATAGGTTGGAGGCCAAATGGGGAAATCCCTCATTGTGATGACCAGGGATCTTTTTAAATGATGGTATAAGAGCTTTATCTGGCAAGTCCAAAAACCATAAAGAACTACATAGCACACCGTGGGTATGTTAAGTCACATGGTCACGATGTTTTCTCCAGGGAGGGTTAGGAGCTCAGATCCTTGAAGGAAGCACAGGAAATGAAGTAACTGCTCAGGGTAACTTTCTTTGTCATAGCTGGGAATTCTGGTAATTCGGTGATGGGACGAAACAAAACAAGTCAGGAGATGTGCTATAAAGACTCTGATCTGAAAGTTAGTGTCCCTGTGAGATGAGGACAGATTATATACTTGGAGAGGAACTTGTCACCTCTTACTCCATTTGTCATAAAAATCCCAATTTACTGAATTCTTACATGGAGTGTTTAGACATCTCTTATTGCATTAGAATGAAGAAACTTTAAAAATAGGGTGAGACTGTCCCATTAAAACAAGACAGTGTCATTTTCAAGAGCTACAAGTTCACTTTTGATAGAACCCCAACCTCTGACATGGGTGGTTTAGTGGAGGTACTTATCAGAGGCTTTGGGCAAATCTGCCTCCTCTAGCAAGTTTAGCTTATTTGCTTGTTTACTTTCGTTTTGTTTTTGACTCTTGGTTCATGATTCAAATACCCAGGAACCTCTGTGGCCTGAAGTCAGGATAGTACTAATTTTCCTAGACTCCTAGAGAAGTACCCAATTTTCAGGTACCCATGGCATGCAGATTTAAAGTATCTGATACCTTGAAGTGGCAAGACCCAAGTGGCAGCCCCTCCATGGCTGTTGTTTTGCAGCAGGTGGCAGCAGCAGCCTGCAGACACAGCTATCCCAGGTGATGGGAATGTCCTCCACTGCTTTTCCATCCTGGTAATATTTTCTAAAGGCCCTTTTTCAGCAGGGGGATAGGCATTCTCCGTACTTAAAAATAACTCTTTTATGAAGCCATATCAATCTTTCCTATTATCCTCTCTGCTCACCAAATCCCAAACCACACAGCATTTCTTCTGCCTTGTATTCCAGCCTGCTGCATTTGAAAAGGAAACAGAAGCAGTCAGTTTCACAGGGTGAGGAGAAACCTTGAACTTCAGAGGCAAATGCAATTATTTACAAAGGGGAGCTGGAACACACATGCATTTCTGCTGGAGAGGCAGGCCAGCACCGTGTTTGGACAAAGTTTTTAAACAGTCTATCTAAACACACTCAATTAGAAGAGGGCACTGAGAAGAGGGAAGGGGACAAGAGGTAAACTTATTTTCATGGTTGCTACAGTGATTAACTCAAATATAACTGGACTTTTATTTTTAATCCACTCACATAAATTACAAGAAAGTGAAGTGGTATACTTTTTGAGCACTTCCCAGTGTGTTTGAAAACGTGACACTCAAGGATTCCATTAACTAAAAAATATTTATTGTGACCCTTCAGGGATCACTAAAGATACACAGTTCTAGGTCATTGTAAATCGAATGGAAAAATCATGTTCTTTGTTCTCTAGAAACTTGCCATTCTAATGGGGAAAAGCATCCATGTGCATCAGAAAATGAAACAAGCAAACAAAGCTAAAGTTCCACCTGGGTAATACAAATGACTGCCTGAGTGAACAGGCAGCATGGGATTTACAGAATGAAACAGGGAGAGGCCAAGGGAGGGAATGGCCAGAATCATCTCAAGGATGGAGTCTGAACTTGACCAGATGCTACAGAAGTCATTCTGGAAGAGACTGGAAGGTGAATTATTCTGGGCAGCAGAAATAGGAAGAGCTGAAGCTTGGCAACATTGAAGTTCAAGGCAGATGCAGTGTGTGTATAAGCTATTCTCCCGGAACACAGCTGAATGTGTAACAAAACTACAGAGAGGTAAGTTTGGGGTTCAGAGAGCTTTCAAGTCCAAGCTATGGAGTACAACTTCTCTTCTTCACTTTGGAATTAGTATAGGTTTGGTCCACCACCCCCACCTCAGCATCAGCATAGTGTAATATTGTTTGAGCAGAAAGAAACATTTTGAAAGATGAATAGGGTGGGTAGAGGCAAGTTGAATGGATGAAAGGTAAAGGGGGAGGCGGAATGCCTTGGGTCTGTATGAGAACAGGTTCTCTGACAGTCAGGCATGGGAGGTAGAAGAGCTCAAGGGGCCCACCCATGCTGCTGAAGTATTTGGTGCTGGGAGATTCAGAGAGATGGGGAATCGCTGCCTTCAGTTGTGTATCTGCTTGTGACCTCACTGGGCTCCAGTAAATAGTTCCAATCCAACAGCCCCATAGATGGTCTTAGTAAACTGTGGGTCATAGAACAAAATCTAAGTCATGAATTTGGGAAGAGGACAGACATGGGGAGGGGGTTGGTAGGGATGGGAGGATGATAAACGAGGTGAGGGGAGAAAGCAGTCAGAACACATTGTATGCATGGATGAAATTGTCAAAGAGCATGATCAAATGCACTCAACTTTTAAAAGTGACACAGAAGACCTATTGAGAATTGACGTTTTCCTTGTCAATCTAGGAAAGCACCTGCTGGTGGGCTGTGGTGTCCACACTATAATGGCAGTGTGGCCTTTACTAAGGAAGGGGAGATAGGGTTTGCATGATAATCTGTCCTTCGTATTCCTCTGTCTACAATTCTCAGAATAGTCATGGGTATGGAATGCTTACTATATGAATAATATTCAATAAAACTCTAAGATAATGCCATGTCTATTAAAACAATAATGTTATCATCTCACAAGGTCCATAATGTTGAAATAAGACCATCGAAAGAATCCTAAAAATCAGACCTATCCTTTATTTTAGTAAATCATGTGGCTCACAGTTCAGCTACTTTCCAAGAATTTTCTTTTTCTGAAGAATGCTGCCTTCCCATGTTAATGGTTCTCCACTAAAAACACCCCACAATTAATAAGTGGATGGTGACAAGCAAAGCACAAAGGCCTGGGTACTTGTTTTGCTTATGGAAACTACAGAGTGTCTGCCAGCTCCTGAGCTATGTTACAGTGAGGCTCCTTAACATCTTTAACACAGACCAATGTCTCCTTCTGCCCCCTGGTTTCTTTCATCCCCTTGAAAGCATTTATCCCGAAGGTACGCCTCCATGAGTTCTCAGAGCACCAAGCACACCAAGAGTGTTTCCTATCCTTTCTCATTGCCACGATAAAACACCATGACACAAACAGCTTAAGTGAGTGTGGGTTTACAGAAAGATATAGTCTCTCTCGGGGAGGGAGAATGGGGGAACATGACAGGAGACTTGGAGGGACGGCTGGCCTGCCATATCGCATCTGTGTTCAGGAAGTAGAGTGAACAGGAAGTGGTGCTGTGTCATAAAGCCTTTGTTTTAGCATCAGTGTAGATTGTTTGGGGATTTCCATGGGACCCCCTCAGCCAACAACTCAACTGAATGCAATCCAGACCCACCACTGGATACCTTGCCTGGCTGGAGGAGATGGCCAGTTGAGACTCAGTAGCCTCCCTTACTTGCAGTCTTCATTGAGATCATCTTCATAGATTCAAGATGGTTTCCACTGCCACAAGTTTCCATACCACCCCAATATTCCACCAATTCCAGCTGTCTCTCCTCACACTGTCTCACTCCATCCCATCTTCTCAGCCCAACTGATCTACCCACCTAACCCCACACCTGTCCTCACAATCCCCTCACAAGTCCACTCTTCAAATCTAGTCTGTTTCCCCTTCCCAGATAGATCTCTGTCTCCTCCCTGCACCCCTCCTCTTTACCTAACCTCTCTGGGTCTAGGTTTGGTTTGGTTATCATTTACTTAGTGGCTATAAGTGAATATACCACATTTGTCTTTCTCAGTCTGAGACACCACATTCAGGATGATTTTTTTTCTAGTTACATCCATTTGCCTGTGGATTTTATGATTTCACTGTTTTTAACAACTGAGTCCATTGCATAAACATACCACATTTTCTTTATCCATTCTTAAGTAAAGGGGTATCTAGGTTGTTTACACTTTCTGGTTATTATGAATAAACTGCAGGGAACATATTTGAGCAACTGTTCTTTAGGTATATGCCAAAGAGTGGTATAGCTGAATCGAGATGGATAGATCAATTCCCAATTTTCTGTGAAACTGCCATATTGGTTTCCATACTGGCTGTTCAAGTTTGTACTTCAGCAATGGAGGAGTGTTCCCCTTGCTCCACACCATTGCCAGTATAAGCTGTCAATTGTGTTATTGATCTTAGCCAGTTTGACAGGTAAAAATGAAATCTCAAAGTAGTTTTGATTTGCATTTCCCTGATGGCTAGGGTGTTGGACATTTCTTTAAATATCTCCCAGACATTTGAGTTCCTTTTATTGAGAATTCTTTGTTTATACCTGTACCCAATTTTTAAATTGGATTATTTAGTTTTTTGATATCAAGTTCTTTATCTATTTTGGATATTAGCTCTTTCAGATGTGGAATTAGTAAAAAATCGTTTCCCATTCCGCAGAATGCCACTTTGTTAAAATTAACTGGAAAATTCCTGGAATCCAGTTACAGAGGAGGAGTGATGAGCAAAGGGATCAAGACCAGGACCAGACTGGAGAAATGCACAGAAACAGCTGACCTGAATAACGGGAGTCATGGACTCCAGACTAATAGCTGGGAAACCAGCATTGGACCAACCCAGACCCCATGAATGTGGGTGTCAATTAGGAGGCCTGGGCAATCTATGGGGCCTCTGGTAGTGGATCAGTATTTATCCCTAGTGTACGAATGGACTTTGGGAGCCCATTCTACATGGAGAGATACTCTCTCAGCCTAGACACACGGGGGGAGGGCCTAGGCCCTGCTTCAAATGGCGACAGACTTTGAAGATCCCTCATGGAAGGCCTTAACCTCCCTGTAGAGCAGAAAGGGGATAGGATAGGGGGTCAGTGGAGGTCAGGGGAGGAGGGGAGGGAAAGGGAACTGAGATTGACATGTAAAACAAGATTTTTTCCAACTTAAAAAAGAAGGAAAAAAAACCAATTGACTGTTTCCCTTGCCTTACAGAAGCTTTTCAGTTTCATGAGGTCCCATTTATTAATCATTGATCATAGTGCCTGCACTATTGGTGTTCTGTTTATGAAGTTGTATCCTGTGCCAATATGGTTAAGAATATTCCCCACTTTCTTTTCTATAAGGTTCAGTGTGTCTTGGAGTTGAGTTTTGTTCAGGGTGATAAATGTGTATCTATTTGCATTCTTCCACATGCAGCCATCCAGTTTGGAAAGCACCATTTGTTGAAGATGCTGTCCTTTTTTTTTTCAGTGTGTATTTCTGGCTACTTTATTAAAAATCTGGTGTCCATGTGTTTGGATTCATGTCTGGGTCTTCAATTTAATTCCATTGATCAATGTGTCTGTTTTTATGCCAATACCATGCTGTTAGAAATCATGGAAGGTGATACCCCCAGCAGTTCTTTTATTCTTCAGGATTATTATACTGGGGTTTTTGTTTGTTTGTTTGTTTTTCACATTTAGTTGAGTATTGTCCTTTCGAGGTCTATAAAGGATGGTGTTGGAACTTTGATGGGGATTGCATTGAATCTGTAAATTGCTTTTGGTAGGATGGCCATTTTTACTGTATTAATCCTACCAGTCCATGAACATGGGAGATAATTCTATCTGTTGATGTCTTCTTCCATTTCTTTCTTCAAAAACTTGAACTTTTTATCATACAAGTCTTTCATTTGCCCAGTTAGAGTTACCCCAAGATATTTTATATTATTTGAGGCTATTGTGAAAGGTGTTATTCCTTTGATTTCCTTCTCAGTCTATTTGTCATTTATATATAGGAGGACTACTCATTTATTTTCTTTTTGAAGTTAATTTTGTATCCAGCCACTTCACTGTAAATGTTTGTCATCTGTAGGAGTTCTCTGGTGGAATTTTCAAGGTCACTACCATATCATCTGTAAATAACATTTATTTTGAATTTTCTTTTCAATTTATATCCCCTTGATGTCTTTCAGCTGTCTTATCACTCTAGCTAAAACTTCAAGTACTATATTGAATAGATGAAGAAAAAGTAGACAACTTGTCTTGTTCCTGATTTTAGTAGAATTTCTCTCCATTTAATTTTATATTGGCTATAGGCTTGCTGTAATTTTTTTATGGTTAGGTATATCCCTTCTATCCCTAATCTCTCTGGGACTTTTATTATGAAGGAATATTGGATTTTTGTCAAAGACTTGTATTGTATCTATCTAATGAGATGACTATGTGTTCATTTTGTTGTTGTTTTGTTTTTTCCAGTTTGTTTATATTGTAGATTACATTTACTGATTTTCATATATTGAATCATTTCTGAATTTCTAGGATGAAGCCTACTTGGTCATGACGGATGATCTTTCCAATGTGTTCATGGATTTGGTTTGTAAGCATTTTTGAGGTGGGATGTCCTTCTGTACACTGTGAATATATGTTGTCCCCATTGGTTGATAATTAAAGCTGCTTTGGCCAATGACAAGATAAAATATAGCTAGGTGGGAAATCCAAACGGATATACAGGAAAAGAAGGTCAGGGTTGAGAGGAATTCGAGACAGCCACCCAAGAAAGATGCGAGTAGCAGCCAAAGGAGAAAGATGCCAGAACACAGCCATGTGATGATACACAGATTATGAGAGAGAGCTAGCTAGTAATAAGCCTAAGCTATCAGCCAAGAAATTATATTTAATATTAGCTTCAGAGTGATTATTTCATAAGCGGCTGCAGGGACTGGCAGGTGAGAGAGAAAATGGTACAGGTGGACTGGGTGAGACAGAAAAAAAAGCAACCTTCCAACTACATATTTTATTTAATATTTTTGCATCTATGTTCATAGGGGAAATTGGTCTGTAATCCTTTTTCTTCATTGAGTCTTCATGTGGTTTGGCTATCTGTGTAATTGTGGCTCCATAAGAAGAATGTTTCTTCTGTGTCTGTTTTATGGAAAAATTTGAGAAGTATTGGCTTTAACTCTTCTTTGAAGGTCTGGTAGAATTCTGAGCTAAACCATTTGGCCCTGGGCTTAATTTCATTACAATATTTTAAATGTCTGCCTCTATTTCAAGAGGGAGTAACTGTATATTTTCATTGTTTATTTGCTCTTGCTTTAACTTTGGTAAGTGGTACCTATAGAGAAAATCATCCATTTCTTTTATATTTTCCAATTGGATGGAGTACAGATTTTTAAAATATGTCCTTGAAATTCTCTGAATTTTCTCAGTGTCTGTTGCTATGTCTCCCTTTTCTTTTCTGATTTTGTCAATTTGGATATTATCTCCCTACCTTTGAGTTAGTTTGGATAAATGTTTGTCTATCTTGTTGGTTTTCTCAAAGAACCAACTCTTTGTTTCATTGGTTCTTTGTATTGTTCTCTTTGTTTCTATCTTATTGATTTCAGACCTCAGTTTGGTTATTTCTTGCAATCTACTCTTTTTTGGGTGTGACTACTTGTTTCTATTCTAGAGCTTTCAGGTGTGCTATTACGTTGCTAGTATGAGATCTCTCCATTGTTTTTTTTAATGTAGGCACTTAGTGCTATGCACTTTCCTCTTAGCACTGCTTACATTGTGTTCTGTATGTTTGAAAGGCTGGCTGTGTGTTCATTTTCACTGAATTCTATAAAGTCTTTAATTACTTTCTTTATTTCTGTCTTGACCAATTTTTCAGTCAGTAGAGAGAAGTTCAGCTTATGTGAGTTTGTAAACTTTCTGTTATTGTTACCTAGCTTTAATTTGTGGTGTTCTGATAGGATTCTGGGAGTTATTTCAATTTCCTGGGTCTGGTGAGACTTGCTCTGTGTCCACATATGTGGTCCCATTTGGCAAAAGCTCCATGAGGTGCAGAGAAGAAGACACATGCTTCTGTGTTTGGGTGGATTGTTCTGTAAATATCTTTAGGTCTATTTGCTTTATCATGTCTTTTAGCTCCATCATTTCTCTGTTTAGTCTTTGTCTAGATGACCTGTTCATTGGTGAGTGGGTACTGAAGTCTCCCACTATCAGTGTGTGACGGTCAATATGTGAAACACTCCTGTAGTAGTGTTTTATTTATTTATTTATTTATTTTACAAACTTGGGAACATGGACAAGAGGTGTCTGGTAGCCAGGATATATATTTCCTGGCCCCTCCCCATGGTAAGTACTTGAAAACCAAACTATTAGAAAGGCTGGCTGTTGGCTCAAGACATCATGGAGGAAAAATTCCATACTGCATGTGTTTACCATTGTTGCAGATGACTGTTGATAGTATGTCCCTTTTCCAGTTCTTCTAGACCTGTTATTTCCTCACTTTTAACCCACTATCCTTTGTTTTGATCTGAGCTTAACCCCCACCCCATCCCATTCGTTCTTTTTAACATCCCAGGCCTTTGTTTTTCACTTCCTGTTTAGAAATATATTCTCAACAATGCTAGTGAGGATGCTGAGAAAAGGGCTCATATGTTATTGCTGAAAATTTAAATGTGCATAGCTATGAGGACTCCTCAAAAATAAGAAACTAAAACTATCATATGATGCAGCAATTCTACAATGAGACAAAGTACCATTTGTTCTCAGAAAGACAGTGGCGAATGGACAGTGAGAAAGGACATTTCAATATAATCTTAAACAACATTTGTAGACATAGAATATGGTTTGGAGCAAAGCAAAATTTTGATTTTCATTGGGAATTATAACCCAGATCAGCTGTTAAGTGAATGACCTTGGCTAAGTAACACGTCACAATTTCACTTACTCGAATATAAAATTAGGATAACAAAGATACTTGTCTCCTGAGATTTCTGTGAAGATTTTAAGGAGTAACATATGTGAAAGTCCAGTGTCTGATCCACATCTCAGCTAACACCATCACAGCAAGGCCTATAAGCATGGAACAAAGGACAGGAGTAAAAGGGTAAAGATTATTTCTAGATAACCCTCTTTTCAGATCAATGATGTTGGACAGCTAGGCCATCTGATTTTTCTAGGCTTGCATTTCCTCATTAGTAAAGTAGTAAATGGCTAAAGATTACACAAATGAAAATAGCTTTCTAGTTCACTGACTCAAGACAGGCTTAATGGTCATCACTAAACGATTTGGTCTGCCATTAGGTTATAAAATATGAGATTTCCATGAAATATAGAGAAGATGATAGTCCATGTAAAACAGAAAATTACAATAAATTATACGGGTAAATATCTTTGTCCTGGCAGTTGTAGCCTATCATCCCTTAATGCATTTTTCTTCCTGGATGGAGGCTTTTTCTTTGACCTTAGAAATCAATGCCAGAGTGAATTAATCATAGCCTTCTGTAGTGATTGGATTAATGGGAAGATCTTGCTAGGACTTACATAAAAGCCTAAAGGAAATTGCTACCCTATACACAGAACTACTGGGTTAGACACAGGGATGCCATAAAAGAAATTTAAGATTGAATTAATAAATCCATTGATTTAAAAACATGCCTCTGAAAATAAATTGAGAGTTTAAATTCTCTATTATTTGCCTCCATAGAAGTTTAACCAAAAGAAATAAAAAAAAAACCACTAAGACTAAAAAGTTGCTGGAAAGTCAGCAGCTATCAGCCCCAATTGCTTTCTGAAATTCTGTAGACTAGACTAAT